AGTGTAAAACATATATATATATATATATGACCTGTAAAAATGAATTTCATTGATTTGTAAAATGGGGCTGAGGTAAAGGATTGCCTGTGATGTACAAAATAAGAATAAATAAAATGTTGATATTGTATATCTGCGTAATTATTACTTTCCTCTTTTATCTAAACCAATGTGATAAAAACAAATGGCTTATCTGTCAATAAATTCGATCAGGTAATAAGTGCCTTTTTAATTGAAAGATAAATTCTACATGTTCTCATAAAATAGTGTAAGTATTACCTTGCAATTGATTTATCGGTTTTTTGCTCTTCTTTAAGAAAGTTTATATCTCGTTTCTGAACAGGGGCGCACTAAGGCCTAGGCACGTGCCTAGGTCCGTACTACTGATAAAAAACGGCAGAAAATACGAAAACTATTTCATGATGAAATTCCAGAACATGAAATAATATTCAGTGCCAAAGAACATTTTAAAGTTAATATTTTTTTTTGTTGTATGCCATTCTTTAATAATCGGGATATAAAACTGTTAACAATAAATTCAAAACAATTTCTCATGATAGTGATGTTAGTGACTCTTCAATAGAGGAATTAAAATGTTATGAACAAGATTTAAACCTAGCAGAACTAAAAAATGAAGTATTACAAGCTTTATCAAATAAGTTTTTCAGACATTAACTACTTAAGGATTTAATCTCGTTCGAGCTAAAGAAGCTCTGGAGATAATTACCTGGTTTATAAAGTGACAATAAATTACTGCAGGTATTCTTAACTCGACTAGGAATTAATAGTTAATTCCACTGCAGTGACGTTTAATGTTCTATGAACTTAGTCGACGACATGCGAATCCCGCACCGCGCGACGATTTCGCAGAGCGGACAAACGTTGAGCAACGATTTGACAAAGTAAACAAGGAAAGAGCCAAAGCAAATAAATTGTCGACATTGAATCGACGTTTGCAAATACAACACTATAAAAATACGATCGTCAACACAAACAGTTGCCGCAAATGTTAACTTTGATGTCAGTTGCGATATCAAAATAAATAAACTAAAACTCTTCCCTCAACAAAACGTGCAATAATATTTTCCTTACGCTCCTGTAACGTGCCAACCTACCCGATGAAGTAAATCAAATAATTAAAGTTGATCTTAGTAACTACCGTACTAGTTGAATTAAAGATAATCAAATTGAGTGTGTCGGTAGGTAAATTCTTGTGAACAAAACGATAGGCTGTTTGAGAGCTTAATAAATGTAATAACATCAGCCCATCGTTTTGTTCACAAGAATTTACCTACCGACACCTTCACTTTAATTATCTTATATCTAAAATCAAATACACCTATTAAATATTTAATAAATAAAGAAAAGATTAGTTATCATCTTCATCATCATCATAAGGTCGTCAGTCCTGAGACTGGTAGGACACGCACCTCCACTCTTCCCTATCCTTGGCTAATCTTCGCATTTTCCTAAAACTAGAAAAATCCATATCCTTAACTATATGCGACCAGTAATCCAATCTAGGCCTACCTCTACCCCGTTTTTGCCTCTAATATGTCTCAGATTAGACCATCATGTCTGAGGGGTCCTACCAACCTATCTCGCCTATTTCTTATTGACTTCCATAGAGTCCTCTGTTCTCCTATTCTTTCTAATATCTCTTCATTTCTAACCTTCTCTGTCCACGATATCCTCAATCATTCGCCTATAAAGCTATCTCTAACTCCTCCTTGCTAGATGCTAATACTGCTATATCATCTGCAAATCTAAGCATACTAATCTTTTGCCCCTCTATATCTATCCCTACAGTTGTACTGTCTTTGATGACGTTGATCGCGTCTTCGATCTATAGATTAAAAAGTAGTGGTGACAGTGTGCATCCCTGTCTGAGTCCCTTCGTAATATTTTCTTCTCTGCGTTGCAGCCCCAGCTCTATAACTGCCTCTTGCTTTTTATACAAACTAAGTATCACTCTTCTATCTCTGTAACTCACCCCTTCATTTTTAAGTATATTTAACATCTTGTTCCATTTAACATTGTCAAAAGCTTTTTCTAAATCTACAAATCCTATGTACACTCTCTTTCCTTCTATCTTCTATCGTTTTCTCTATTGTTAACCGTAAAGCTAGAATGGTTTCCCGCGTTCCTCTATTTCTTCTAAACCCAAATTGATCTTCCGCTAATAGCTCTTCCGCCCTTTTTTCCATCCTCCTCTGCACAATTCTAGTTAAGGTTTTTGACGCATGGGAAGTTAAGCTGATTGTTCTAAATGTCTTGCACCTATCCGCGCCTCTCCTTTTGGGTATGGTTAATAATCTAGTTGCAAAAAGACAATTACGCCATTAAATAACTATAGTTCCTTTACATTTAACACTATTGTTATCCGTTTCGTTGGATGTTTTAATGTCTTCACTTGCTTATCATTATTTAACGTAATTGTAGTAAAGATTCAACTGATTAAATACCTAGGTACTCATAATTTTGACAAAAGTAATGGGGAAATACCCGTAGGTGGAACATGCTGATTCGAACGTCTAGTGCTCGAAGATTCAGTCGACAAGCAGTCCAGTTACTTCACCCAGAAAAGCATCAATATGCCGAAGAAACAACATTCGAACTGCCATTGTCCGGAAATTTTGAAAAGGATTTCAGGAAGAACCATATAAATATTTCGTTTTTTCAAAAAACCCTTCTCACAGTGGGTTCTGCTGCCATAACCATTTTAGATCCATTCAGAGCTGATATGTTGTCTTGCTTGGGTGAAACTACTGGTATGATATGGTATTATCACTAATCACCTTTCTTTAGTTATTTAATTGTTCATATGATTAGAACACACAACGACACAAAGGATTTGGTTATATCAATCAATAAAGCCAGAAGCTTCACGTTGTGATGTAAAACATTGTCAAACGATTATGCAAAAGCGTTTTTTCTGTCATAAATTTCTTTCTAAACATTCCATTAAAATTAGTTGAATTGTACTCTACATTTACATAACAGAAAAATAAAATACAACAAAATTATCGTAGTGTATTATCTCTTTGATGTGATTATTTAAAAGTTCATTATTTGGAAAAGATTCCGGTAATCATCTTTCCTTCCTGTTTGATAGGAAAAGATGCTGCGGCATACGTATTTCATAAAATGATTGAATCGGAAGAAGGATCCCGGATTCTTAGCGAGCAGCCTCGAATTAATTCTAATACAGTAGATTTGGAAAGTTTAAAGAAATATCCCGAAGGAACTGTCGGTAAAGTTTATAGCAACTGGTTAAAGGATAATGTAAGTTATATTATGTATTTACATATAACGTAAAGTTTAACCGGAAGAAATATTTAGTAGGGCGAGAAATTGACGTAAAGGGGAACGGAAGCCAATTTAGAATGCTCCAAAACAATGGCCCCCAATTGTGAATTTCAAATGAAATGAAATAAAAATGCAATTAATACTTGTGAAAGAGGCGATATTTCTCCAAATTGTTTACCCCTTTAACCTCCCTCCCAAATGAAATTTCATAAGCTTCGAATAAACATCTTCCCCTTTCTGCTCTTATGTAGTTTATGAACGACAAAATTACAAAGAAGAAAGATTTTAATTAGCACACAAGAAAGCTTAAAATCTAGAATTTTGCTACAGGTTTTTGTCAAGTTTGGTAATATACTTTACATATACATGTATGTATATACTACCAATGTATTACAGTCTTCACAGTCCCTATCTTCATCTTCTTAGGGATCTGCCACAATTTCTTCCCGGTGGAATCCATTTATCGACCACCTGGCTTCGTTTGTTGTATATAAGCGGACGTACCATGATAGTTGTTTCCTTCAACTTACATTATTATTTGTGTAATTCTGTAATTCCTTATGTGGTTCAGCTTTAAGATTCCGTAACTTCTTCGCCAATAGTCCATTTTCAGACACAACAATTTCTGTTCATTATTTATTGCATGGTCAGTTCCTATGTTTCAGACCCATGTGTAGTTATGTTCTAGACGATACTCCTGTAAACTGTTGTCTTCGTCTCATTGGTAGTTTTGTTATTCCAGAGAATTGAGTTCAGTTGTCGTATTGCTCATCGTATTTGTCTAATTTTATTCTTTATATTTTCGTTGCTTATCCCTGTGTTCGATATCGTGACACCAAGATATTTGAAACTAGAACATTTCTTGAGTTTATGGTGTCCTACGTCGCGATCTTGAATGTCATTTCCCCCTAGTATCATACATTCCGTTTTCTCATGACTGATTGTCAATCCACATCTCTCTCTTCTTCCAGTTTCCTGAACATGTACATAGCTGGGGTCGTCTCTATCCTCTGCTACTAAAACTTGGTCGTCAGAAAATAGTATCTAACAGAGTATATAGCGTTTCATCACTAATGATGACCTCTATTCCATAAAATTTGCGTTTCTAATTTCCTAAGACTTAGGTAAATCTTAAATAGAGAGGGTGCTAGAACATACGCCTGTCGTAGTTCTTTAGTGACCATGAATTCGTCACTGATATTGCCCATTTAAATGTAACTACTACATTCACTATACCGTTTCCTTATAAATAGCTTACTGACCTCTCTTTTGACCATGCATGACCATAACATATTTAATGGAAACGTGTTATAAGCTTTCTTCAGGTCAACAAAAGTTAGGTGCATCGTTTGACCTCTGACATATACCTTATACAAATTAACAAAAAAAAGATATTGATACTGATTATTGTCCGTTTTATCAGATCCTCCTTTGTCCAGCCCTAATTTGCCTTCCGTCTTCACTCCCTAAACTTAGGCAGTCTTCAGGGTGACTCGGGGTTTCTTTTAGCTGCAAAAGAAACTCTCCCTAAGACGAGGATCCCATTTGCACCACGCCAAGGTTGAAACTTGGAGCCTATCCTCTAAATATTTTTAACCTTATGGACCTTAATGCTCAATTTTAGGAGACATTTTATTTTAAATGGAAATGATGTACTTGATACCTACTATTCCTATAATACAGTAGATAAACGCTGTATACCTATTGTTGTGATGTTTATGTTTTTGTTTAATATTATCTGTGAATTAATAAACAAAAGCTTATATTATAGAATGTGAGTCCGAACTCGAGGCTTCCCGTGCGGTTCATGGATGACGTAAAGTTAGCATATGTCATGCAGAGATACAGAGAAGTACATGACTTAACACACGCCATCCTAAGTATGCCGACCCATATGCTAGGTCAGTTAGTACATCTTCGATCTTGACTTTTACTTATGATATCATCATCGTCCTTGTAAATCTCAATTACTTACCAGAATATATGCAATACATTAAGCGTGGTATGAATTTAAGTAACGCATTTTGTAATGCAAATACTATACTATACAGTAAAAGCTCTTTATTCGCAGAGTATACGTTCCATAAATATGCCACAAATACAGCAACCGTGGGTATGGAATGCTAATTAGTATGGAATCATAGGGGATACGTTCTAAGGTACCCAAATAAAACCAATATGTATCAAAATAAAATCAATGTATTGTACATGTACATACTCAAAAGATGCCGATACATTAAGGGGATTCAGTAGTACACGCGCCGTAGAGTAAAAACATGCTTATCGGTTCTAGATATCATGAGTTTAATGTTTGGAACAGACTTTTGAAATTTTGTAGTAATATAGATAAAGCTTTGTTCTAAAGCTTGTCGAAGGCCATTTTTTTATTTCTATTGAAAATACTTGTTCTACGAGAAGTATCAACTTTAAGCACTTGTAAAAGCTTTTAATGACCATATTATTGAAAACCGAAAACGTATCGAGTTAGTGTGAACCTTTGTCTGTTATCATACAAGAAGTTAGATATTTATCTCGCCCCGTTAAATTACGATGTTTAGAATAGAAACCCATGTTTTCGGAAAAATTCACACCAGGCACGAGCGGTCTATTACGGTCAATCCCCTTAATAAATGACACCGAATCCTTTTCTGTTTACCGATTGCAACCGCGAATAATGAAATATTTAACCGCGATTACAGGAACTGGGTTGCATTTTTTTCACCCGCGAATAATGAAAACGCGAATAAGGAACTTTTATTGTACTTTACTATTATTAAATATTAGTGAGTGATGCTGCTATTAAGCAAGCGTATTCATTTGGATATTTCCAGGAGAAGTGGCCATCAAATGGGTTGAAGCGATTCAAACAAAATTACCAATGTGTATCGCTGGTGCTATCTTTGGACCAGTCAGATTAAGACCAAAGTAAGACTTTAATATATCACATTCTCTAATATCTTACAAATAAAATTCTTTTGAATTATTACGCGCAATAATATATTTTATACGACTACAATGTTTGTTTTGTGTGACAAGTGAAATACAGCACGTCTTTCAAATATGTTGTTATTCATTGTGGAATTAGCAAAACAACAAATAACTTCATATCACGTCTGAGAAATAATTTGTTTTTGAAAGTAAATTACCCAAATAGATTATCGAAAAAATATTTTTCACTAGATTAGAAAGTATGTTGGAGCTTTGAGCGCCACCCTTTTAGTATTTTTTGAAGGAAGGAATGGTTTTCCTGGACCTCAATAAAAAATTTCAAAAAAATCCTAGTCCCACCTAAAATTACTTGCTAACCAGTGGTATATGTCATAAAAACCCGGGAAAATTAATTTTGACATTGAAGTAGGGTACCTGTAACATTTCTGCGATATATTTAGGAATAGTATTCAGGAAAAATATGTCCAGTATTAGGTCTACTTCTACTTCTTTTAACTCATGTTTCTGCTTTTAAATTATTAAAAAGAAGTTAATCAATTAAAGTGTGATTATAAACAGAAACAAAGAGAATCCATTGTTGGCAAAGGTAAACAAAATTCGTAATTACAGCGACAAAGCGTTCGAATTGGTTAATTATCACAATCTGTAACATTGTTAATTAAACGATAATTCTTGATCGGATCAATAATCAGAAACCCTGAATGTGTTTTATAATTTCACAAAGGGATTTTCTCCAGGAGACACTATAAACTATACTTCATTTACATTCTCTAGCGATGTGCCCCTTCCAATGTCTGGCAAAATCGTAGGTAGGGAGAAAAAAGCTCATACTCTCGACTCTTGTTCATTAAACATACTTTTTCATACAGTACCTGCCAAAAGCTTTGTTCAATCATGAATAGTAGTGCCAGTCGAAAACAAGTCTTTAATATGTCTTCAAATATAAATAAACATCTCGTTGATATTTTCAGTAGTAAATGGTACCAGTAACAGCACATTTGAGCAATGCAATTGTCGTGGATAAAATGGTCAATTTTTCCGTGCAGTACTGTACGGATTATACGCTCCTCACCGGTTAAGAGTTTGACCGAGAGTTGTCTCCTTCCTTTTCTGGCCTAGTGCTGTTCTTTTCTACTTTGAGTCGGTCAAACTGAAGGTCACATCGCTACAGAAAGTAAACGAAGTATAATAACAGTAGATTTTAGAGAAGCTTTAAATATAATCATAAGCAACATTAGTTGTTGTTGTTCTGATTAACCTTAAACGCGAGTTATTTAAGACAAAACGTTGAAACAATAATGTTGCTAATTGAGTACTTATCATTTTATAGACAAAGAAAAAACTACATCGAAATTTACTTGCCATGGGCAATACAGACGGGTTTGGAAAGCAAATTTCTAATGAACATTTACTACGAAAAACGTTGGGATCAACCACTTGCTGATTTGCATCAAGAAATGAACATTAAGCCATTAGTTTTGTCAAATGGTGACAAATAAAATAATATTGTAGCTAACCTACACACAACATTAAAATATAATCGGAACTGACTGATTTATTGTTTCATATTGTTTAATATTTACTGTGTAACAATTTCAAATTGTGATTGTAGAAAAGAGTGACGAATAAAGAGAATAAAATAAAATACTACATTTAACAAACACGTTTATTTTAAAACCCTTATCATTTGCGTACTTCCTCTCTATTTGTGATAAGAAGGTAAGTAAAACATTTGGAGTTTTTGATACAAAATTACTTAGAATTGAATACAGTTAACGGTAAACAGTTCAAACATTAGAGCAATGTAATGTATTAAAATCAGAAAATATGGAAAAATTAAGAAACAAATGCATATAAGTACTGATTTCTACGAGTTGTAACTTCCGACTTGTACTTCGAATTTTTGTCTTTATGTATATCAACAGCATCATAACGTCCTCAAGTCGTAAGATTAGTTGGACAGCACCTCCACATTTTTCTATCCTGAACTAATATTTGCTTTTCCCTGAAACTAGAACATCCTACAAGAATTATTTGTGAAAAATAATCTCATCTAGGTCTACCTCCACTGTTCTTAACTTCTGATTCTGCTTCCAATATGTCTCTACTTCTGACTAGCTCTATATGCTTGAGAAGATGTCCAACCAACACCAGCCTATCTGGCCTATTTCCTATTGATCCACAGGGACCTCTGTTTTTCTATTCTTTGTAACACCTCCTCATTTAACTCATTTATTCGGAGTCTGATTTCTAACTTTCGCATTTGTCATTATCAAGATGAAGTAGAAAAAGAAAATTAATGAAGAACAGATAAAACCACTCGAAATATAAATACAGAGTCGGTTCGTTTTATATTGAATTTATAATCATGATCGAAATAATACACTGACAAAAAGACATTTATTTTTTCATTCCTTTGTCACCGGTAGTTCGGTGACAGATTGAAATAAATTTCTATATTCCTTAAGAAAACACGTTCTATAATGTAATACGATAAAAACGCCGGTGAACAATAAAAATTTTACAGAAGCCATGAACTGAGGAAATAACTGTATATTATATGAATAACGGCGAAAGGAATGATCGTAAAAGTATCGTGAAGCTTAAAAAAGACCCAACAGCTGAGCTGGTAGCTACACATTTCGTGAACTATTTTAAGAAAGCTTATTGTAAAGGCGAGAGCAAAATAATTTCGGTAAAAAAATTAAAAAAAAAAAGGCATAGGGGATATGGATAGATAAAAAAGTTATAAAAGATTGTATAAATCTATGTAAGTACGTCTACAATCTGCAAAGGTTTTGATACTTTAGCACACGGATACGTACTTTGTCATAAGAAAATAGGAATGACGACCAGCACTGGGCTAAGGAGATGGATTGTGATGAACAAAATTCCATATCAGGCATGGTATTTATCTTGGTTTTAAGCATTAACCCTTGATTTTGGTCATACGTTTTCACTCTTGGTATTCATCGGGCAGCGTTTTGGTCGTATGATGTCCAAGATCAAATCCGATGTTGCTTTACTATTACTATAACAATAACAAATCGTATTGAGCAAATACCAAATCCATAAAAGGCTTATTCCTGTGGTTGTGGTCCAAACCACTGGTCTAAATCTAGTCTAGTAAAACGTGTAAGAGCAGGTCTCTTTTTGATAGTCATTAGTGATACGTGGTTAAAATGGACTACCACCCACCCATAGGTATTTATTTGGTTTCCATGCCTTATGGGGTCTTTGTAGGTCTTGTGTGACTTAATTTTGAGCCCGTTTTGTGGGAAATTCAACAGAAATGGAAAGTAGATATAATATAGACATTCTTTAGTCATAAATAAGAATGGCTCCGAGGACGTAAAAGCAAAAACGTCATTAAAGGTGCAATAAATCAAATATTTCAAATATTATCAAGAAGTAAATATACCCAAACTTACAATTATGTAGTGGAGAATTCCAAGAACAACTGCATGATAGCAGAAGATAGAAGAATGTGAGTTCTATTTATTGAAGGCGATCCGACCCTGCTTTATCCTCTGCTTCATATCCCTTGCACTCCTTCCGTCCTGACTTATCTGACTTCCTAGATACTTAAAATCAGCCACTTCTGCTGATTTTTCGTCTCCTATCTTTATATTCGCTCTTTCCCTACTTTTTCTTCCCTTGCATACCAGTGGATGTGAAAATATTGAATGAATGTTTATCTACACATATTTAATTGGTTTCTATACCTTAAGGCATCAATGTAGGTAATGTTGTGGGATTTAATTTGTTAATAGAAGTAGAAAGTAATTTTTTTAAGCCGTAAATAAGAATATTTCTGAGTACGTAAAGGCGAAAAGGTACTTCATTTATCAACTGATAAAAGGATTTAAATGTCGTTAGTGATGTAATAAACTCAAACTTATCTCAGTTATTATCAAGAAGTAAATACTCACAAGGAGTTCAAATTTAGTTTCAAACTTATAATTATGTAGTTGAAAATTCTAACGATACAAACGAATGATGGTAGCACTTCCTGGATCATAATACTTGTTCACTAACATGAAAAACGTTAGAGGCAGCACCTGCTGGGTACACCCAATTTAAAATGGAGACTGGAGACAATGTATTCGAAAACATGACATCAATAGATATACGTTGAATATTGATCGAAATGAGCATTAGGTCTCGTGGTACTAGATGATATGATATTTCAAAGCTGCTTTAAACTTGAAAATGTTTAAAAATTAGGGATAATCATGAAGATTTAGTGAATTTGCAAGAAAGTATTTTGACGTTGAGAAGCTTTGGAGTCGCAGTGCTCTGAGGGAGAGGAGCCAAACCAAACCCAAACTCAAAGACCCCTTAGATGTTTAGAATGAGAATGAAAGGAGGGGTGCAATATGTTCATCCATCATCCGGATTTGCAATGGCTATGTCGAATTGGTGGAGCGCCCATCGCGCTTACGCTATCAAAGCGTTTTTCAGGGGAGGAAGATCGTGCGTCTTGTTTCCAAAAAGAAAAAAAAAACTTTTGGAAACAAATGGAAGGGATGGGGGTTCGGCTGAGAACGATGAGACGGACAAAATGAAGACAGAAGAGAATGAAAGATTATCTGTGGAATATTACTGCCCCAGCATTTGCCTAAATTATCCAAGGAAACCACAGAAAAACTTGGACCAAGGCATACGGATCCAGAATCGAACCGACGTAATCCCGAATGCTAAGCAATGGACTAAACCTCTAGGCCATTCCGCTCTGTATTTGTTCCCATGCACTACAATATCAAACGTTTACGAGATGGAATAAGTGAAAATTCGATTCTTAAATGGATCCAGAAGTTTCGAGCTACAGGTTCCTCCATAAATCAGCCACGTCCGGGCTCAAGCAGACATCAGGAACTGAAGAAACAATAAATGAAGTTTCTGCTAGCGTTCGTCGCAATCCTGGATTTTAAAGCGCGATCTGAAATTTCATCCCTATAAAATCCAGATAGTGCAGATAATAACGAAAAATGACCACAATTTACGAAAAAGCTTTTATCAGACTGTTATTGAGAGATTTCGCACTATGAATAGTGTGTTTAGTAGTAATGAAGCACATTTTTATTTGAATGGATATGTGAATAATTAAAGAGAATTGTCGCTTCTGGTCACCTATCAATTCCAACAAACATCAAGCATCATTGCATAGCCTAAAGCCTAAGGGTTACGGACATGGTTTCAGCAGGACGGAGCCATTTCCCATACTGCAAGAGCTGGGGACAACTTCGTGAACTGTTTCCTTTAAAGTATATGTCCGCTTTGGTGAGATTGACCTCCGCGATCACCCTTTTTCACCCCCATGGGCTATTTCGTGTGGGTGTATCTTAATTACAAGGTTTACAGCAACACTCCGAGGATTATCGCTGGGTTAAAAGAAAATATTCGCCGTTAAGTAAGCGAAAATGAGCCTGCTATGCTCCGGCGTGTTGTACAAAATACCATGGTAAGAAGGTGATTAGGTACTTACAGACAATTATTTTTTTGTTATTTTTAAAACATTTCGCGTACACACTCCTCTGTAACTTCTCTGCCTAGTTTGTCTTACGGATAATCCACCTATAATGGCAACAGTTTTTAGTAAATTAATGAAAACAAGATTAATTAAACGGAAAAATTGTTAGAATAAACATACAAATGAAAGGAAATAGTGGAATGCTTCATATAAAAATTGAGGAATATCAAGAAATGTTGAACAATCGAGCCGTTCATTGAAAATTAAACTTTTTTGGTAACCTGCTACAATAGGAATCAATTATAACTAGCATGGATTATAGATCAAAGTAGAAAACCAAAAACATAATAATTGGGGATATTCGACAAAAGGAGTACTAGATAAGAATTAAATTACGATCTAAAGTAGCAATATAATCCAATGAATTATAAAGATGCAATTGGAAAATAATAAGAATCTCGAACGTCATGCCGTTGATAATTGATTTTCAAATAGCAAAGGAGACTACGGACTGTAACATAATTACAGTTTTGTACTGTCTATCCCGGATAGCAAGCGTAAATTTTCCTGCAATTTAAAGATTTCATTATACAATATAAGCTGATGAGTAAACTGCAAACATTATGTTATTACAGTTGTAGAGAGTACTGCAATTAAATGTAGGCATCAAAATAAAAAAGTAAGTCATATGACAAATGCACTCTTTGTACATATAAAAAAGGTTTCTTAGCTACTAACAATTAACACAGAAGAATCAGTCGTTCGATCGATATAAATCAATAGCAGCACTTCAGTTCAAATACCCAGTAGGTGCTGCCTCTAATGGGTTTTTGTGGTAGTAATCGACCTTATTACCCAGAAGGACAGGCCATTAATCTTTATCGTCAAACATTATCTTCAATTACAGTAGATCTTAATGTTGATATCGATCAAGATGTTGCGTCCTGTGTCTAAAACACGTACTCCGCTACAATTTACAATTCAAATACCCAGCAGGTGCTGCCTCTAATGGGTTTTTGTGGTAGTAATCGACCTTATTACCCAGAAGGACAGGCCGTTAATCTTTATCGTCAAATATTCTAGGATAGTATGAAATTCCTAAATCTTTTTAAAGATTTCTTAATAAGTTCAGTTATCAATGATGATTAATAATGATTTTTAAGCCTTTGAGGTAATCATGAATAAACCAGTTGTACAATTATCTTCAAGTACAGTAGNTAAAAAAGGTTTCTTAGCTACTAACAATTAACACAGAAGAATAAGTCGTTCGATCGATATAAATCAATAGCAGCACTTCAGTTCAAATACCCAGTAGGTGCTGCCTCTAACGGGTTTTTGTGGTAGTAATCGACGTTATTACACAGAAGGTGCTGCCATTGATTTATATCGTCAAACATTATCTTCAATTACAGTAGATCTTAATGTTGATATCGATCAAGATGTTGCGTCCTGTGTCTAAAACACGTACTCCACTACAATTTACAATTCAAATACCCAGCAGGTGCTGCCTCTAATGGGTTTTTGTGGTAGTAATCGACCTTATTACCCAGAAGGACAGGCCATTAATCTTTATCGTCAAATATTCTAGGATAGTATGAAATTCCTAAATCTTTTTAAAGATTTCTTAATAAGTTCAGTTATCAATGATGATTAATAATGATTTTTAAGCCTTTGAGGTAATCATGAATAAACCAGTTGTACAATTATCTTCAAGTACAGTAGATCTTAATGTTGATATCGATCGAGATGTTGCGTCCTGTTTCTAAAACACGTACTCCACTACAATTTACAACTTAAACTCTCGATAGGTGCTGCCTCTTTTTTTTCATCGGGGTAGGTAGTAATCGACGTTGTTGCCCAGAATCCAGAAGGTGGTACCATTAATCTATATCAGTCGAAGATTCTGCTAGAGCTTTAAGGGTATCATGAAATTCATAAAGGCCATTCAAGATTTCTTTTAAATTCAGTTATCTTCCATACTTCTAAGACACAGTGCCCCTAACCCTTTTTATTGTAGTAAACAGGCGCTTTTGCCCAGAAGATGCTGCTATGAATATATATTGGCCGAAACCTGCTAATTCTAGTTTGAACGTTAAAACTTTTAAAGTGTTATGATTTTTTTAAGATTTTTCAAAATTTCTTGATAATTTAGTAATAATTATCTTCATATGCCATAAATGTCGTCATGCCTCTGACACGTTTTTCATAGTAGTTAAATGTAGGCTGAAGTTTTTGTTTTTTTATGAAGGTCTAAACTCCAAAAGCAAATTTGTTGAACGTCTAATTTAGAATTTTAGTAAATCAAAGTCATCCATGTTTAGCCTCATCGGAAATGTCCTTAAATTTGACATTTAGATAACTATTAGCGCTTTAAAAAATATATACCATAAGTTTATTTGTTTGCTCAACTGTTATCAGCCCTAACAAGTCCCAATAGTTGAATTTATGAGGAAAGAAGTACTTGCCTCTAGCTACCTTTTATATGTCACTATAGTTATATTTATTTGAACTGCAATATGAAACCACTGAACGTTTGGCAAATTCCTAACCAGTTCTTGTTAAGTTATAACAGAGTCCTACAAATACTTTCAGCACATGCTGAGGTGTCATCGAAGGCTTCGAATTCATTTGGAGATTTTGATGAAGATTTTGCGAAAAACTACATAGAAACGACATCATTTCAGAAATTCCTCTTGGCCCTTGGATCAGGTTATGTTGTACTTAGGGATCCCTTCAAGGTTCATATGTCAACCTGTTTTAGTGAAACTACTGGTAGGTAGTTATGTGGCAGATTTAAGGAATGGGGAACGGCGAACGTGTAGGTTAGGTTAGGTTGGGAACGGCAAATGTGTAGGTAGTTGTCGCTTGGACCCTCAAACATATATACCTACCTTTTTTTTAATATAAAGCCTTGGTCTACTGCTTAAAACGTTGCTAAATACTGGCTCCCTTTGAGGTTTTGGTCTCGACCCTTTTCCTTAAATTCGCCATTAATAATCATCCTTACTTTTCAACTAGAATTATTTATAACAGAAAATATTCGCCTTTGCGATTGTTGTTCTTAAGGGTTATACGCAGCAGGCAATCTTTTGAAGAGGGTTGAATCCACAGAAGAAGGTAGAAGACTGTTGATGGACAAGCCCAGAGTTAACTCAAAGACAATAGATCTAGAAAAACTGAAACATCTACCTGATGATACATTTGGAAAAGCCTATTTCAATTTTCTGTTTCAAAATGTAAGTTTGAAGGGTTTTACATCCGTCATCTAGAATTTATGTAGATAAAGTACCATCCGAGATGTGATTTTTATAAGTAGATCTTCAGCCTACACCAAGAAGGGTGAGTTATCGTTATTTCTGGATCAAACATAAATCGCCGTAACTCATTCCGGATAGTATTTCATCTAACGTAAACTGTAGGTACATGGAATTATGATAAGATTTCTTAATTAAGATGTCTATTATTTAGAACTTGACACCGGACTCAAGACACGTTGTACGATTTATAAAAGACATAAACGTGGCATACGTCATTCAACGGTACAGAGAAATTCATGACTTTGTTCATACTGTGCTTGGTATGCCACCCAATACCTTAGGTAAAATATTCAGCAATATTTCACAAAATAGGAGACTATTGATCAAATAAACTAAAATCGATACGCGAACACGTGTTTCACCCACCTCCTATATGGGATTATCAACGTGGGACTGATTGAGTTTTATAGGGTTGTTCGGAAAGTCATTTCGTTTTTTTTTGTGGAAATGAAAGACAGTTTTCGTATAATAAACAAATACTTTATTAAATTATATATTGACCGTTCTGGTCCAACACCTTTTGCCATCTTTCTGGTAGTAGCATAAATGGTGCCAGGTCTGGAGAATATGGTGGGTGTAGCATTGTATCCCATTCAAGCTGTAAAAGCTTTTGGCGAGTGACCAAACTTGTGTGAGGTCTCGCGTTGTCTTGGTGAAACACTACACCTTTCCTGTTGATTAGTTCTGACCTTTTCTGTTGAAGTGCATCATTCAGTTTGTCCAGCTGATGACAGTAGACTTCCGAATTAATCGTTGTGTTATCCGGTAAAAGCTAAAAAAAAACGATTCCTTTAAAATCCCACCAAACAGACAGCATTACCTTTTTTTGGTGAATATCGGCTTTGGAAATGGTTTGAGCCGGTTCATCTTTTTTGCTCCATGACCTCTTGCGTTTGACGTTGTTGTATACAACCCATTTTTCGTCCCCAGTGATGATGCGCTTCAAAAACGGATCATTTTCGTGACGTTTGAGAAGCGAATCGCAAACCTCAATGCGGCGACACAGATTTCTCTCTGTGAGAACATGGGGAACCCATACATCGAGCTTCGAGGATAATCCCAGGCCTTTCAAGTGGTCATAAACTGTTGAATTTGATAAATTTAACCTCAATCCGATCTCACGTGTTGTTATTCGCCGGTTCACATCAACTAATGCCTTTATCGCGTCTTTATCAGCTTCAACCGGCTTTCCCGAACGTGGTGCATCTTCGACATCAGAATTGCCGGATCGAAATTTAGCGAACCAGTTCAGGCACTGGCGTACTGTCAACACACCTTCTCTATACACATCAGTCAATTTCTTTCTGGCTTGAACAGCATTTTTACCCTTTCTGTAGTAAAACAGTAAGATATGTCGAAAATGCTGCTTATCGCTCTCCATATTTAAAAGGGCACCAACCAAAAACTACTGCGTAGAATTAATTGGAATTTTTCACACACAAGCCTTGCTATATGAGCTCTCAAAGCATATAAAAATTATAAGGCTTAAATGTGAAGTTGGGTGCAAAAGAATACAATTAAATCCTCTGTCGGGAAAAAACGAAATGACTTTCCGAACAACCCGATATAAGAGGTGGACGAAACACGTGTCTGCGGAGTAAAGTTAGTTGTGGTAAATTGGGGAATGTTTCTAATTTGTCATTTAAATGTTTAAAATATTACAGGTGAAACTACCGTTAAATGGGTGGAAGCTTACCAAACAAAATTGCCCTATTGTGTAATGGGAGTAATTTTTGGTCCTCTGAGTATCCCATCCAAGTAAGAATTTATTTCTTTTGTGATTGATCGATAAATTTTATGTTTAGAATATTAGAGCTTATCACCTTAGTTTTTATATCTTTACATTTTAAATCATCATTAGTACTTATGCAAAAAGGGTCAACATCTTTTTTCAAATGTTATTACATTGTTAGGAACCTAAATAAAAATGCTTTACGTATTTTTACGAGAACTTAATTTTTGACATACTAATCTTGATCTTAATCTGAATCTGTTTATTGAAATACCAACAGAACTGTTAATTTTTGAGATGTTTAGTTTAATAATATGTAACTTCATTAGGTAATGAAAAATGTGAGCTATGTTTCATGACCTGAAGAAGTCATTGGTCAGTTTTGTTTAAGAAAATTATTTTCAAAAATACTGAAATACGTTTTTGCAAATAAATCATTCTCTGAAGTTCTCTTATTACACACCCAATTTCATCAACGTAATAAATTAATAATTAAACTCTTCAAGAAAACGCAAAGCTTGGCGGAGGTGCAGTCCTCATACTAAATATGCTTTTGTAATGGCAATATTCTTAGGTTATTATGATTATTTTCGTATTCTTGTACTCTTTGTTTCACTGTCATAAATGTATTTCCAGGAAGAGGAGTATTTATTTCAAATACTACGCTCCATGGGGCTTTCAAACAGCAAAAGATTGCAAATTTCTCTACAACATTTACTTCGAGAAGCGTTGGGAGCAACCACTAACCGAATTGCGTGATGAATTATGTATTGAAACATTGAATTTACCTCAACAAATAAAACTGTAGTTTCAACAATTTCTATTGTTTCTTTTTTTCTCTATTTCTGATACTTTTTATTTACGTTTTATTTCATCTTTCTAGTTATAAAAAAAAGTAACATAAGACAATCCTGAATTATATTTTACTTATATCCTTATATGTATATTATACTTCTTTTGGCAATTTGAGGGTAAAATTAAGAAAGTGAATGCGACTCGCGAGCCTGCAACTTAAGTTACTCCCGCAGCCTGCGACGCAGGGTGCACGCGCACGCGCAGCCTGCAACGGAGTTACCCTCGCAACCTGTAGGTGTAAGTATACTGGTAAAATAAAGACGCAAACTTTTAGATTTTACAATGCTCTACCTTCTAGAAGTTCATTTTTTGGTAAAAGACAATATTAATTCCATTTTGTTAAGAAAATATCTAAATGAACGATTGGTTCGACAACACGCCGTACAAAATTGTTTCTCCTCAGTATAAACGTGTAGGAGTTATAAAAGTTGCTTTTTCTGATCGTGAGTAATGAATGACGAGAACTGACTTAGTTTGTAACATGCGCAAACGGAGTATGAATGACCTGCCTATCTACGTATCGTTATTTATCATTTGCGATGCAGTGTGCCTCAGAATGTGATTCATTAAATCATGTCCAACTTTAAAGGTTTTAGTGAAGATGAAATTAAAAAGTTAACAACTACTTCAAGTGTTAAAATAGCGGTTAAGTCCATTGATGGTAAGTAAATAGATACGTTCTTATTTATGTATATGTACTGTTCTCATTTGACTTTTAAATAGGTACTAACACTTGTTGCAAAAATGTTATTTAAGTTGTAAGACCCTGCTTTAAGATATTTTCAATTTCATTGAAATATTATAAGCTTGTGTATGAAAATGTCTTTATTGAGGATGCAACATGATTACTTCTGAATTAAATGTTTAATTTCAAATTTGAAGCTTTTTCTATCTTTCCTCTACACTGGAAAAGGTTCAGTTTGATTTAAAATCGTCACAATAGCTTATCGTTAGTTAACATAATTCGCTTGATCCATCTACTTCAATGAAATACAGTTTTGGGATTAATATAAGGATACTATAGCGATGATGATTTTGTGACAGATATTGTTTTATTTTAGATGATATACTAAATGGTAAACGAGTTTTACTAAAAGTGAAAAAGGGTCAAAAAAACGCAGTAATAAAGAATCTTACCAGTTCAAAAACATTACAGAAAAACGAGGATGAAGATTCTAAAATTCCAGACGGTGCCAGGCTTTCTCCTTTTAATCAAACCAAAAAAAGTCCAAGTCTAGTTTGTAAAAATGAGATAAATAACCAAGAAACTGAATCTTCCGTCTTAGAAAATAGAAATTACCCAAACGAAAATTACGATGATAAAAACACGGTAGTGCCTGAAATTCCATTACAATCAGATGGCGAATTCCACCCTGCGAAAAGGAAACAATTACCCGACACAGACGTAAAAGATCCGCCGCCGAGGGTAATTTCGTCACAGGATGAACCTAGAAACGATAAAAATGGGTCTTTAATCACCTCATCAGAAGGTAGAAGAAGAAGCAGCAACAGCAGCAGTAGCAGTAATAGTTTGCAAACGCTCCAGGCTCGGCAAAAGTTAATAGAGGAACAGAATAGAAAACGGAAAGAGATACTTGCCAAAGCTTTAGCTGACAAGACGAAAAAAACCCGAGAAGAGACGGAAAGATTAAATGAAATACAGCGGGAATTCAAAAAATTGGATGCGTTACTATCTGAGGACGTGAATATCCTTAGGAGACAAATAGAAATTGCCAGCTTCGACTTTATGGAAGCGCAGTGAGTAAATTGTTGAATTGTTTTCTGGCGTTACTTCAAAAAATGTCTTCTTTATTTGAGAAAACTTTTGCAATCACATTATACACTCCCGTCCGCGACATTATCGATCAGAAAGCCAACCTCGAGTTTGATGATGGAAGTAATTTTAACTTTGGAAGATAATATTACAAGTAGATAAACAATTTTTGGAAACGGATTAAGTTCTTTGCCAGTAATACATTATTTTTGATCTTATTTGATCTCAGCACACCATAGGTTTAAAAGGTTTAAACCAAAAAACCTATTGCGTGCTGAAGAGATTGAGCATTTTTATGTACATATTTCTTACCATTCTTATTAAACGCATTCAGTTGACCGATATTTTCCTTGACTTACGTTGCAAAATTATTGGCCTCGACGAAGAGCCATTTTATTTTAACAGAATATTATGTAGCCTATATCCACCGGGAAGGTTTATGCTATGTATTGGTGAAAGAATTTTTGAAATCCAATGAGTAGTTTCTGAGATTGCCTAATGCAACCAAACTTTACCTTTTTAGCAAACTGGAGCCAATATCTTGTTGACCATTTGAAATAGTTCAGTTAGGAGCTGCTGTCACTAGATGGTGACACACTGCCATAAATTGACATTATTGTATCATCATCATCATCATAAGATCGTCAGTCCTAAAGACTGGTTGGACACATACCTCTACTCTTTCCTATTCTGAGCTAATCTTCGCATTTCCCTAAAACTAGAGCAACCCACATCCTTAACTATCTGCGAACCGTAATGTAACTTAGGTCTGCCTTTTATCCTCCTAACTCCTGTTTCTTCCTCTAATATGTCTCTGACTAAACCTTCATGTCTGAGAAGGTGTCCTACCAACCTATCTCGCCTATTTTTTATTGAATTCCATAGAGTCCTCCGTTCTCCTATTCTTTCTAATACCTATTCATTTCTAACCTTTTCTGTCTACGTTATCCTCATCATTCGCCTATAACACCACATTTCGGAAGCTTCTAACCTTTTCTTTTCCGCCGCGCCCACTGTTCATGTTTCGCATCCGTACAACGCCGCGCTCCAAACGTACACCTTTAACAATATTTTTCGAATTTCTAAATTAACCTTTCGCGAGCATAGAAGTGACTTCTTTTTATTAAAGGCGACACGACCCTTATTGTATAATCAATTCTTAATTCCTTGTAGACTTTTATTACCATTGATTTTCATAATCAAATCGTTTAATTTATTTTATCATTTTTCTATAGCTATTCCATTTTTTCGTATTTGATGGGTCTAATCTATCTGTAGCAAGGACCGTTAAATGGTACATTTCTTTATTACTTACTATTGGATTACTTAATTACGTACTTAATACTAAATTTTGTACAGTGTAATTATATACTTTTGTTATAACCTAACCTAACCTGCAGCTAATAGAAATTCGTTGAAATTTTGACTGGCAGCTTATCAAAATATAAATAAAATATCAAGTAAGAGAGGCTTGCTATGTATCCATTAATAGCAATACATTAATGTATAATTTATTAATGATTATTATANTAATAGTGACCTAATTAAAACATGGCAGTCGTAACTTAAACACCAAAGGACAATAAATAAATATATATACAAGGAAACAGACCTGTGCGCTTAACCTTTTTATTACCAACATTATTATTAAATAAACTATTATTTTGTAATTTCAAACATTAATTAATAGGTTTTTCAATACCTAATTCGTGGACAAGTGTACCAAAATTGCTTCGAATTTTAATGCTTACTTTGTATTAATTTAATTTTTATTGTTAAATTTCACGCTACAGTTTCATTAATAAGAACTATAACAAGTTATTTAAATTGGATTAGTTCCTAATACATTGTTTTTTATTGTTTTCGTTTTCTCGAAACAATTCTATGTATTTATTTTATTGTAACGGTATCAACTAATGAAAGAACGAAAACTAGGAATGGATTAATAATAATAATTGGCATAAAAGGCACAACGATCCATAAATTACAAGCACTATTCTATGTTTTCTTGAACTAGTCAATTCTTTGGTTACTTATGGGACGCATTGGTAGTCTTCAATCTAATCAAAGGATGGCTTCATCTGACACCATTTGTATCAATCAACAAACTTATTGTGTATCCAAAAAGGAAATGATTTACGAGCAATTCGGTCTTCGTTTCAATCGCATCTCGCTTGTAGCGACAGCTATCCATTCGTTTCTTGAACTATCAAACCAAGTTAACCCTAAATTGTACCTTCCGTTAAGGTTTGCGTGCTGGCAATGAGAAAACCACCAACCCCCTTCATAGTTGGAAGCGCAGTGGGTATTGGAAATGTCTCGATCATTATCAATCGTAGAAAATTCCATCCTGTTTTGGTAATCCATTGCGTCGCTAGCATTTCCTTTATAATTTCCTACAAGCATTTTGAAACCCACCGTGTAATCTCCTACCCAAAACGTGTCGTACGTTGCTTGCCAATATTTTCCGTAAATGTCTTTCATGTTTATTTCCAAAGTACTGCAGTTATCTTTGGTTAGGTAATGGATGTTTCTGTTTCCCAGCCAATGTTCTCCAGTGGCAGAACCAAATCCGTTAGAATACTCGTTCCATTTTCTGTTGAAATCAACCGACCCATCATACCGTTTTTGAATGGTCGTCCAACCTTTTTTGCAATAAGCCATTATGGGTTCTCCATCTCCCGGTGAGATTAGATAGACACCGTTCGGTCCAGAAACCGCAGAACAATCGTGCGGTAATTTATTAACGATGCTTTTGTATTCTTTTTCAAAAGATTTTAATTCTTCAACCAGATGGATTGTAGATTTGGTGGAATTCATGTCCAATGTGGATGACTCAACCTGAAATGAAGAAGAAACATGTGAAATGAGAGACTTGAGTTAAGAAGTGAAGCTTTACTTAAAATTGAATCAGTAGAACTGATTTTTGAATAAATAGAACCGATACCTAAGCGACAATGACAAAACGTAATGGTTTAAATAATATCAAAAAAAGGTAGATTTAAAGTTACAATATGAAGCAATAGATTTGCTGGAATTTCATTAACTTCAGTCTTCCTGCAATAATTATAACCAGGCACGAGAGTAGGAAATGGGTCAGGAAATATTTTCAATCGAACTCCAACAATAACAATGATTCCACCATCAACGTGGTAGCGTCCATTATCGAACAATTCGTGCGGACTTCTACAATACAGTTGAACAGAGAATTTAATTCTGACCACGAATGTAATTATTGAAGTGCGACAGACGGCCTCTGTCTCTTTATTCCATTTCAGGATTATGTTTTACTTTTAGTGATTCGTGACGACAACAATGGAAAATACTGCTGAATAGAGACCACAATGAAAACAAAATTAATAGATGTACCTACAGGAATTTTAATAAAACAAACAAACAAACAATAACGATTTCAATTGAAATTACGGATAAATTGAAAATATAAAATGACTGCAAAAAAATGAAGAATTACACTGTCTATGTACCTGCGTGCATACTGAAGTCCTTTGTAGCACGTATCAGTACTGAAAGATAACAAGACAATTTGCCTTGTGGTCTTCTGTAGATCACAATTAAAATTTCAATAAATAAACGCAGAATCTACTGAAAACCAATTGCTTCAAATGATCATTATTAAAAGACAGAAATGTCGATAAATGATAGAAAGAGTTATAAAATTTCTATAGAAATGAATTCGGATCAGTTACCTTTAAAAAAGCGTACGAAGTTTCCATTTCAAAGATAAACAAAAGCGTAGACAGATGTTTGTAAAATATAAATACCTTATCAAGATGTATCTTTTTAAAACGAATGAATAGCGTCTAAATTCTCACAATTTAAAGAGGGCTCCAGGATAAGAAACACATTTGGAGTTATTGCCAGTGGATACCACAAAGGCACAGTGGTGCAGTGCTGCGAGGTCCGGGGGGTGAGGGGAGAGGGAAGGACTCTGGCAGCATTAAATTGTCCCCACATGACAGTTTAGTATCTGTATTTATCTCTGAACCGTCTGCACCCAGCTACTCCAATGAAGACTCCCTAAATCAAGAGAGACTGCAGTCAGATGTAATCTGAAGGACATTCCGGGGGGCGACGGAAGAGGGAAGGACTCTGACAGCATTAAATTGTCCCCACATGACAGTTTAGTATCTGTATTTATCTTAGAACCCGTCTGCACCCAGCTACTCCAATGAATACTCCCTTATCAAGAGAGATTGCAGTCAGATGTAATCTAAAGGAGATTCCAGGGATGAGGGGAGAGGGAAGGTCTCTGACGAGCATTAAGCTGTTCCCATATGACACATTAGTATCTGTATTTATCTTTGAACCCGTCTGCACCCAGCTACTCCAATACTCCCTAATCAAGAAAGACCGTAGCGAGATGTAATCTGAAGGAGATTAGACAAAAATTCTCAGCATTCCAACTTGCTTTCGAATAGAGTATATGAGCGTCGTATTTATCTACCTTAAAGGTTTATCATCTTAGGAGTTTTACAATTAGCAAGCTCAGCGAGTTTCTACAGGTGAGTACTGCACTGAAATTTTCCACGATAAATGGAAATTGCATCAATCGATCGTTTCGTAAAATTCCCTAGTTATTGTTGATTTTTTACCTCTCTATATTTTCATTTAACCAAATTTTTGAAATGCTTTTTAAGCATGACGTCCTTTGATAATTAAAAACAATATTTCATTGAAGCATTGATTTACACGTAACCGATTTGATTGACGGTTTATTGGAACGGTAGTTGAAAAGATATTGGCTATTAGCATTGCAAAAACGTATAATTTTATTATCTTTTCGGGCACAATAAATCTGCCCACCGTAAATATGTTATGGTCAGATTTATTGTATGTGAAGCACTTTTCCCATTCGACCGTTAGTGCTGTATAAATTTTAATTTAAACACGTAAATAGCCGCTCAAAAGCCGATAATTATTTTGCAAATCAGTTGTTGATTTTGAAATTTTGATGTTGTATACTGCGTGTTTGTCTGTTTGCAAACAGTTGCATCGGTTGTTCGTCAAAGCATCGACTTCTCAAATAGAGCAATATTCGTTTATCGCATGGAATGGGAGTTGAACAAATGTTTGCGTAAAACAAAGATAAACTGAAAAATTGTCTGTGTGACAGCTTGTTTGATGAAACGAAAACTTCGTTGTAAATCGGAAACGTTTAGGCTTTTCATGAATCCATTTATTTTCAACAGACGTTTACATTTTTATTCTTTTCCAATTTTCGTGTTTTCACGCATTAAGGTACCCATGTCTTTGTTCGGATGGAACTATGCATATCTTGCACGTTTACGTCCACAAATAACCAAGTTGTCAAAGAAACGTTTACAGTAATTTACGAATTTAGCCACATTGGTACTGATGCTAATGGTTTAAAAATGAACGGCGCGAATCGTAGTAAGAACGTCACCAAGTTGTGTTCGGTGGTCTGTTGCGCAGTAAAGCAGTGCGCATTGCAATTTGCTGGGAGACAAGATTTTGTTTATGCTTTGTAATGTATTGATGCGCAGTCGCTCCTCGCGCAGCGGCCAATCTAAGTAAGGTATTACTAATAGCATAACTTGTGTCTCCAAGTAACTTCCAATAATGCGAGAATATTATATCACCAGATAGCGCTCTAAACCTTACGGCTCTTTAAAATTATAATACATACATTAAGTTACCCGTATCTCGAAAGTAAACTTTAAAGAACATGTTGTTATTACAGGTAATATTTTGTTTAATAGTTATCGTTAGACTTCAAGCAACATAATAAAGGAAAGTAGATTGTAAATATTAGTTTCAAACTTCTTTCAGGACCTTTCGGCCGTAATGGTTCATTTAGATAGAAAATTATTCCTTGAATCATTGCTAAATAGCCTGGAACGATATTCATAACTGATCCACACGGTCATGAAAAGTATTATTAATATAAAAAGCGTTAGATATTATTTAAATAATCACTTTTAAACCTAAATGATACTTATACATATGTATACCAAAATCCCTGAGGATATTGATGGAAGTTTTTAAGACCAAGATACAATTTCGTAACAATTTTCTTTGAAGATATCTAATATCTCATTATATTAATATGTTAAATAAATTCACTGAAACTTTCTATTAGACATCCAAATTCCTGTCTTTGTATATAACTACATTAATTTATTAATCTCTTTACGGCATTTTTGATAAAATGGGAATATTTAATTAAGCTAATGCCTCACCTTGAAAATGTGATCGTGAAGTTTTGAATTCTGCACTGTGTTAGATTTCTTAAGATTCTTGATTTGATCCTGTACGTCCTGCAACAAGACGAGATCCCCTTCACGTTTATCCTTTAAATAGGACACGGTTACACTGATAGCTTTGACGGAGTCGCGAGTGTTTGTTTGATCTTCCTTGAGCAGTGCCACTTGCGAGAATGCGTCCGACATTTGGAATTCCAGCTTCGAAATCTCCTTCCTAAACTCTGGGAAGCTTCGGTCAATTTTGTTTTCGATATTCTCCACGTTTTCGAGTAGCTCGAGCATCGACATGTGCAGTTTGTCGAAGTTTGACAGCTGTTTACTTAAGTTCTGAATCGAATCAGCGTTGCTCTTCTGAAAACTTTCGAGTTCTTGAATTTTCTCGTGGAGCTGAAACCAATTCGCGTTTCCCCGGCCATCGACAGGATTTAATTTGTTCATTTGTAAGTACTCTTCAATTTCGTTGCCGTATATTACGTCAGGACTGTCTTCAGGTGTCGGCTTTAACGTCGTTGAAGTTTTAACTTGTTCTTCGAGTTTAATTATTTTCGCTTCTAAATCGTCGTTACGTTTGTTAAGTCGCTTGGCAATTTTTTCGAGGTCGATTATGTGTTTCTTTAGTAGGCGTTGGTGTCTGGATGGGTGGTCCTTGAATTCTTCCGGGGGTGAGCCGGAAAGAGAGGACGGCGTGTAATCGTTCAACTTCTTCCAATTATGGGCCCACTCTAATTGTGTACTCTTCAGCTGTAACAAAAGAAAAGTATTTTAGTACAAAAGAAGAGAAAGACGGAGGATTAAATAGCTTTCAGGGCGGCTTTGGAAACTCTACTGTGCTACGGAGGGGGGTTGTAATAATAGAGCATTATAAACTGGAAGACGTGATTCAAAGTCTTTCAAATGCCCGACATTTGTAGGTACAATAGATTAAGGAATGTGGTCATTCTAGATAAGCCGTTTTTTGTTTGCCATGTCGAACCAAGTTACCTGAAGTTTTTTCAGTATTGCTGATCAGTATAGCAAGCTTCATTTAATTATCATCATCATCATGAGGTCGTCAGTCCTAAAATTGGTTGGACAGGCACCTCCACTCTTTCCTATCCTGAGCTAATCGTCGCATTTCCCTAAAACTAGAACATCCCACATCCTTAACTATTTGCTACTTCTCTTAACTCCTGTTTGTCTCTAACTAGACCTTCATGCCTGAGAATCTGTAACTCCTCCTTGCTAGATGCTAATATCATCTGCAAATCTAATCATACTAATCTTTTGCTCTTGTATATCTATCCCTACAGTTGTATACTGTCTTTAATGATGTTGATCGCGTCTTCGATGTATACATTAAAAAATAGCGGTGACAGTGTGCATCCCTGTCTGATTCCCTTCCTAATATTTACTTCTCTACGTTGCAGATCCAGCTCTATAACTGCCTGTTGCCTTTATACAAACCAAGTATCACTCTTCTATCTCTGTAACTCATTCCTACATTTTTTAAGTATTTAACATCATGTCTCTTTTAACATGGTCAAAGGCTTTTTCTAAATCTACAAATCCTATGTACGCGCTCTTTCCTTTTTCTATTGTTACCCGTTAAGCTAGAAATAAATAAGGATCCCTTTTTGGGTAACCTGTCTCTACATTCTCTAGGTGTATGGTTTTTTCCCTAGGTCTGGCAACGGTGGCCAAAAATCGAATGTGCTAGTGGACATCTCTCTCCCTCTAACTGAGTTTTTCTTTTACAAAGTACTTTGACCAAAGTTTTTAATTAATATTTGTTCAACAGGGTAAATAACTTCGCTCCTACTCGATGTTCCACGACATCTCACACAATTTGGTTGCATTTTCCAAAATTTATTTTGTAAACTTTTAGGTCTACAAAAACCAAAAAGTTAATCAATTGTAGCAGACTTTTTTCATGAAAAAATGTTTGTAAATGTTAACTCGTTGTCGTAAAATGAAAGCAAGCCTTCCACCGTATAAAGTTATGATTTATCGTGCGGTAGGTATCCTAAATAAATTTAGCATACATAAAGTTGGTATCCCGTCTAAGGGATATCTTGCAAAAAGCCTGAGTCACCGTTATAGCGGGCAAGGTTCAGCATAAAAGCTATTCGATTTTCTGCCAACTAGAATGGGTCTTTTGAACGACGACGATCGTTTCAGTGGCCGTGTCACAAGCCATCATCGTTCCAATAGCGCAGAATACACGTTAAATGAGAGTGAAGAATAAACAAAGTGGAAACTTTAAAAGAAGCTTTGCGACAAACAGTGGCGGACCTATGTGTAAGTAATATCAAAGTCAAAACTATAAAAAAGTCGTAATGCTTCAAGCAGAAGGTACTTTTAATAAAAAGCCACGTATGAAGTGATATAAAGTGATACCTTAGTACTTAATCCATCCGACAACGCTGACGAAAGAAACGTTGCGATTTATATTAAATTTACCCTTGGCAATCTATAAAATTAAATTAAAACGACCATAGCCTACCATATGTGAGAAGGCGTCCTCCCAACCAATTTCGTCTAATTTCTTATTGACACCCATAACGTCCTATGTTCTCCTATTCTTTTCAATGCCTTCCGATTTCTAATCTAATCAATATACAATACATCGGAGTATAGCGCACATAAAATTTCGTAGTATGATTGGTTATTTTTCCCCATTTCGGTACAAAATAAAAGTGCCAAAACATACACTATTGTGTGAAGGTGGTAAAAGTTAATTGAAAATCGTAGAGCATTTGTTTAAAGCTATAAAGGCTTTGGAATGGTACAAACAAGCAGAAACACTTGTAATTACAAAGTGTAGAAACCAAGCAATTACGATGTAAGCCTTTTTCCTTCAAAGTTGTAATAGGTTACTATGGCTGCTAATTGAACTATTGAGTTCTTTGAAGTTTCAGTTCATAATGTTAATCGACCGTAAGTTCGGAAGTGCTGTAACAAACTTGTCTATAGGTAGTTTTAATATAATGCGCTCTTGCTGACTTGCTTTCAGGAAATTAATTGCAAAACTTGCTTATTAGTTATGGTCAAACTTTACTTTAAGAATAAATAAAAAAACAAAAACGAAACAGTAGTCTCCCCTTATCCAATGGTGTATTATATGATTACAAATTATTTCTTGAGCATCATGATCAACATAAAAGGTCTTCAATCCGAAGAGTGATTGAACATCTACCTCCACTTCTTCATAAATTTGGTCAATCATTGGAGTTTTTGAAAATTAGATCAACTCCGAGATAACATAATGTGATGATTACCTGTTGTCTTCCACACCACAGTGTTGCGCCATACCGACCCCGACTGCAAACGCTACTGTTTTCTTTCAGGAACTTGCCATAGTCCTGTTTCTCACAAAGAGGACACGTCCATCATAGTTGAACCTATGATCCGGCTCATTAAATATTTGAAACACTCATACTAATCTACTTACTTGGTTGAACAGCTTATAATATCGTATTGAGTCGAAAAGATATTCGAAATAGAATAAAACATAGGATATACATGAATGGATAGATCCGCATTTCGATGATTTAAGGAGCCGGACCATTGGTTCAACCATTATGGGGAGAAACTAGATTAAGAGGGTAGCGGCTCTTTCAGTACTCAGGGTGGCAAAGATCTTGTGGATCGATATGGCACTCTGATGCACAACACTGTGATGTGGAAGGCAACCAAAAACCACCACATTGTGATATACCAAGAAGAACGTAACAAAACCAAAATGATTTCGTCCGTTGAAGTAGGGCATTCCAGGCGTAAAATAGTTCCCCATTCGGGTGTTTGGGTGGGGACTACCTCAGAGAATGTCATCAGGAAGTGTAATATAGGGAGATGCAGTATTTCAGGAATCAGAACGTGGAACGTTGGANTTGGTGTTTTTGTGATACACCATCTAAAGAAGTCAGAAATGCAATGGTAAAAATTTGAATTGAATTACATTAAATTAGTATTAGCAAATACATGAGTAAAGCCGGATGTGGTTTCGCGTGTTTCTTTTTGATAATATTAGGAATGTAAACTGCAATTTACAACAACCCCTAACGATTAATTTTCTAGTGGTCGATTTAGACGTTTTCTCTTGGTTGGCTAAACGTTCAACGGACGGAAAAATAATGACAGGAAACGGCAACATACAACTTGTTCCGTTTTGATATGCAGCAGGTGGCTAATTATTGTATGAATAGGAACGTTCACGGGGTTGCGGACGAAGGGATGAGAACGTCGCGCTACTTACTACCTCGACTTATTTAAACGCACCTTGTCAATTTTTTTATGCATGATATTCACTCCTTTTTGCATTAAGTATTTTTGGATTCCCATTCACATATAACCTGCTGCTAATTTTGATACTTTGTAATATAATATTACATTTAAAGATCGTTATGTAGGTGAAATAATAATAATAATAACTGGATTATTTTGGGAAGCGGGCAATTAAGATCTCAACAAGGTTAGCCACACTGTCTCGTCTGGATACCGTGAGGCTGCTTCTCCTTCTACGTCTTGCTTCATTTGCACATCACTAAGAATGCGATGTGATCCCCTTAAGGAGCTACGCGCTTTAATAAGGATTTAAGAGAATCAATCGGATATACCAGCTGACAATTATAAGATCCACTAACAAACAACCACAAGTTCTTCTGGGATTGTTATAGTTTAGATTATGGGATTTGTCGGAAAGCGTCGGTCAAACCAAGGGAATACTAGTAGTCATTCTGTGGAGCGCCTCCATTCAGTCTCCAAAGGTATATAAAGGTATTCTTAAAATAGGAAAGGACACTGTGGTGATGGAACTAATAAAAACAAGAAGAGACTTACTCCAAATCCAACCACAACAATTTTATAAACCGCTGCTGACACCTGTTTTGATCATTAGTGTTGAGCACTTCGATATTCCTAACTAATTATTTTGCATTAAGAATTTTTATCATGATTACATATTGCGAAACAATTTAAGGCTTAATTAATTACGGGTGCAGTCTACTAAGTTAATAAGCAGCACATAAAATCCTTTGCAGTCAGGGTGATTTGTAGTAGTATTTGTTCAAGGTCCTCCTAATTATGGCAGCACTAGGTAATGTATAGAGGGCTAATTAACACTCGGTCTGTTGGAAGATGGGACAGCTTTATATCTTTGTGAATTAACTCTCGGTTGTTTAAGTTTGAGTTCGTAAATTAACAAAAATGCAGTCAAGAGACCAGTCAGCTGTGCTCCATTTAAACAGAAAATACTTTTAGTTGCCCATATAAATGAATATAAACACATCTTTGATTTTATCCCACCATAATTTGTATGCCGTTTCAAAAACATGTGATAATTCAACTTAAAAATGTTTGAATAAGCAGTTTCGCTCACGCAAATGCTAATTACTTTGACTACCGCCATGTATTAAATGCTTATTAGAGTTTAATGATAGACTAACGTATTAATTAATCTTTGCATACTTTCCCATTATTAACCCGAATCACCATTATTATAAAGCGTGAATAGCATTTTAAAAAATAATGTCAACAGTATTAAAAAGAGTTACAACGTTTAAAAGTAATCAACAAATAAATCTGTCAGGTAATCTAATTGTAAGTCTAATTATACGTGTCTTAACTGTTTTCAGTTACTAGTATTTTTTTAACTACAGTCGCTTCAGTTTAATTTTGTCGGTTTTAAATTATGAAGTCAAAATTGTAAATATTTTACTTTATTATTTCTTACTGGAACAATAAATCTACAGTCCCATCAAGGAAGAGTAAGGAAACAACCCACATCCTTAACTATCTGCGAACCGTAATGTAACTTAGGTCTGCCTTTTATCCTCCTAACTCCTGTTTCTTCCTCTAATATGTCTCTGACTAAACCTTCATGTCTGAGAAGGTGTCCTACCAACCTATCTCGCCTATTTTTTATTGAATTCCATAGAGTCCTCCGTTCTCCTATTCTTTCTAATACCTATTCATTTCTAACCTTTTCTGTCTACGTTATCCTCATCATTCGCCTATAACACCACATTTCGGAAGCTTCTAACCTTTTCTTTTCCGCCGCGCCCACTGTTCATGTTTCGCATCCGTACAACGCCGCGCTCCAAACGTACACCTTTAACAATATTTTTCGAATTTCTAAATTAACCTTTCGCGAGCATAGAAGTGACTTCTTTTTATTAAAGGCGACACGACCCTTATTGTATAATCAATTCTTAATTCCTTGTAGACTTTTATTACCATTGATTTTCATAATCAAATCGTTTAATTTATTTTATCATTTTTCTATAGCTATTCCATTTTTTCGTATTTGATGGGTCTAATCTATCTGTAGCAAGGACCGTTAAATGGTACATTTCTTTATTACTTACTATTGGATTACTTAATTACGTACTTAATACTAAATTTTGTACAGTGTAATTATATACTTTTGTTATAACCTAACCTAACCTGCAGCTAATAGAAATTCGTTGAAATTTTGACTGGCAGCTTATCAAAATATAAATAAAATATCAAGTAAGAGAGGCTTGCTATGTATCCATTAATAGCAATACATTAATGTATAATTTATTAATGATTATTATAAATGGTTATATGTATTATTCAGTGTTCGTAAATATTACCTACATAAGCAGTCAGTCGCCTATGTTAATAAAATCAATCTACCGACTTTAGTAGAACATTAAGTACTAAATAATGTAATCTGAGGCCCATAATTTGCTAGATGCCTCAGGTAGCACAACGGGTAACCTGTTTATTTCGCAAATTAAAGAGTAAGTCCTGATTTGTTTATGTTTCAGGAAGAGGTACGATAAAGTAGAGAAGGAGTTCTTGGATGCAAAATTCACTTTACATCAAAAGCAGGAACGCAAAGAGCTACTTACTGAGCATTTATGTACCATAATTGAGAAAAATGAAGAGAGGAAAGCTCAAAAGCTGAACGAGCTTTTAGACAAATTAAACGTTGGCACAGATGAGTATCAAAACAAGGACACTACACCAAAGGAACCCTCTTGATGTTATGAAACCAAATTAATAAGTACCTCATTCTTTATAGAATATTTCGTTAAATTAACAATTTATTAATAGAGTAAATTAATCGATTATTTCAAACGTAAAGCATTTTAGCATGAGATCAATGGCAGATTTTTTTTGCTTAAGAATTGAAACGGGTCTAAGTATATTTCTGAATGTATTTATTATGGCGTTACATTTGTATGTGAAGCGATATGGAGATGGATCGATGAGTCAACCAGAATTGAGAAGGGGATTCGAGAGATTCGACATTGGACAGTGAGCGCACGTCTTCCCACAGGCGAACAGGTCTTGTTATGCTCAGTCAGGGATTTGCTAGTGATAGTGAAGTGGTTTGTGCGTTAAAAAGGTAATTTTGTATCCAAATCAAAGGTAACATTCCTTTTATGTAATCTTGATACGGAGTCTTGGTTTTTTGTGTATTTAATAAACGTGTTGTGGACCATTGCACAAACTCAATAATTATCAGTTACTGTTGTTATAAAAAATTACCTAATTTTGAATATCTATTGAAGTATTTGTATTTAAGAAAACATTTTTATTTACCTAATAAAATTAATTTATTTATCGTATCATTGTATTAATTGCCCTTCTGTATATTGAAAGATTGCGTTATTTATATTGTAAGACGACTTACCTTCATGTGGAGTTCTGGGAATACCCGGTACGCATATCATAATGCGCCATCTTGTTGCTAGTAGATCTGATACTTAAAATAAGTAATGCTTAGTAAAAAGTAGTACAATAACAATAATACAGTTCGTCTGCACTAACTGCAATGATAGTCAGAAAATGATAATTTATTATTTATTATAGAAAAATCATTGGTATTGTGGTACACTTTGTATTTACAGAGATGTGGAGAGATGAACTTAGAAAATAAGGAATCACTAATTATTTATTGTAATTAAAAATAAACGTCCTAACGTACGTACAATGACTAAACTCTATCTAAGGATATGTTTAGGAGTTATTTACAATGGCATTCTTGTGAAGATACTTATAATATACATATATAATACTTAACATTTAATAGTGACCTAATTAAAACATGGCAGTCGTAACTTAAACACCAAAGGACAATAAATAAATATATATACAAGGAAACAGACCTGTGCGCTTAACCTTTTTATTACCAACATTATTATTAAATAAACTATTATTTTGTAATTTCAAACATTAATTAATAGGTTTTTCAATACCTAATTCGTGGACAAGTGTACCAAAATTGCTTCGAATTTTAATGCTTACTTTGTATTAATTTAATTTTTATTGTTAAATTTCACGCTACAGTTTCATTAATAAGAACTATAACAAGTTATTTAAATTGGATTAGTTCCTAATACATTGTTTTTTATTGTTTTCGTTTTCTCGAAACAATTCTATGTATTTATTTTATTGTAACGGTATCAACTAATGAAAGAACGAAAACTAGGAATGGATTAATAATAATAATTGGCATAAAAGGCACAACGATCCATAAATTACAAGCACTATTCTATGTTTTCTTGAACTAGTCAATTCTTTGGTTACTTATGGGACGCATTGGTAGTCTTCAATCTAATCAAAGGATGGCTTCATCTGACACCATTTGTATCAATCAACAAACTTATTGTGTATCCAAAAAGGAAATGATTTACGAGCAATTCGGTCTTCGTTTCAATCGCATCTCGCTTGTAGCGACAGCTATCCATTCGTTTCTTGAACTATCAAACCAAGTTAACCCTAAATTGTACCTTCCGTTAAGGTTTGCGTGCTGGCAATGAGAAAACCACCAACCCCCTTCATAGTTGGAAGCGCAGTGGGTATTGGAAATGTCTCGATCATTATCAATCGTAGAAAATTCCATCCTGTTTTGGTAATCCATTGCGTCGCTAGCATTTCCTTTATAATTTCCTACAAGCATTTTGAAACCCACCGTGTAATCTCCTACCCAAAACGTGTCGTACGTTGCTTGCCAATATTTTCCGTAAATGTCTTTCATGTTTATTTCCAAAGTACTGCAGTTATCTTTGGTTAGGTAATGGATGTTTCTGTTTCCCAGCCAATGTTCTCCAGTGGCAGAACCAAATCCGTTAGAATACTCGTTCCATTTTCTGTTGAAATCAACCGACCCATCATACCGTTTTTGAATGGTCGTCCAACCTTTTTTGCAATAAGCCATTATGGGTTCTCCATCTCCCGGTGAGATTAGATAGACACCGTTCGGTCCAGAAACCGCAGAACAATCGTGCGGTAATTTATTAACGATGCTTTTGTATTCTTTTTCAAAAGATTTTAATTCTTCAACCAGATGGATTGTAGATTTGGTGGAATTCATGTCCAATGTGGATGACTCAACCTGAAATGAAGAAGAAACATGTGAAATGAGAGACTTGAGTTAAGAAGTGAAGCTTTACTTAAAATTGAATCAGTAGAACTGATTTTTGAATAAATAGAACCGATACCTAAGCGACAATGACAAAACGTAATGGTTTAAATAATATCAAAAAAAGGTAGATTTAAAGTTACAATATGAAGCAATAGATTTGCTGGAATTTCATTAACTTCAGTCTTCCTGCAATAATTATAACCAGGCACGAGAGTAGGAAATGGGTCAGGAAATATTTTCAATCGAACTCCAACAATAACAATGATTCCACCATCAACGTGGTAGCGTCCATTATCGAACAATTCGTGCGGACTTGTACAATACAGTTGAACAGAGAATTTAATTCTGACCACGAATGTAATTATTGAAGTGCGACAGACGGCCTCTGTCTCTTTATTCCATTTCAGGATTATGTTTTACTTTTAGTGATTCGTGACGACAACAATGGAAAATACTGCTGAATAGAGACCACAATGAAAACAAAATTAATAGATGTACCTACAGGAATTTTAATAAAACAAACAAACAAACAATAACGATTTCAATTGAAATTACGGATAAATTGAAAATATAAAATGACTGCAAAAAAATGAAGAATTACACAGTCTATGTACCTGCGTGCATACTGAAGTCCTTTGTAGCACGTATCAGTACTGAAAGATAACAAGACAATTTGCCTTGTGGTCTTCTGTAGATCACAATTAAAATTTCAATAAATAAACGCAGAATCTACTGAAAACCAATTGCTTCAAATGATCATTATTAAAAGACAGAAATGTCGATAAATGATAGAAAGAGTTATAAAATTTCTATAGAAATGAATTCGGATCAGTTACCTTTAAAAAAGCGTACGAAGTTTCCATTTCAAAGATAAACAAAAGCGTAGACAGATGTTTGTAAAATATAAATACCTTATCAAGATGTATCTTTTTAAAACGAATGAATAGCGTCTAAATTCTCACAATTTAAAGAGGGCTCCAGGATAAGAAACACATTTGGAGTTATTGCCAGTGGATACCACAAAGGCACAGTGGTGCAGTGCTGCGAGGTCCGGGGGGTGAGGGGAGAGGGAAGGACTCTGGCAGCATTAAATTGTCCCCACATGACAGTTTAGTATCTGTATTTATCTCTGAACCGTCTGCACCCAGCTACTCCAATGAAGACTCCCTAAATCAAGAGAGACTGCAGTCAGATGTAATCTGAAGGACATTCCGGGGGGCGACGGAAGAGGGAAGGACTCTGACAGCATTAAATTGTCCCCACATGACAGTTTAGTATCTGTATTTATCTTAGAACCCGTCTGCACCCAGCTACTCCAATGAATACTCCCTTATCAAGAGAGATTGCAGTCAGATGTAATCTAAAGGAGATTCCAGGGATGAGGGGAGAGGGAAGGTCTCTGACGAGCATTAAGCTGTTCCCATATGACACATTAGTATCTGTATTTATCTTTGAACCCGTCTGCACCCAGCTACTCCAATACTCCCTAATCAAGAAAGACCGTAGCGAGATGTAATCTGAAGGAGATTAGACAAAAATTCTCAGCATTCCAACTTGCTTTCGAATAGAGTATATGAGCGTCGTATTTATCTACCTTAAAGGTTTATCATCTTAGGAGTTTTACAATTAGCAAGCTCAGCGAGTTTCTACAGGTGAGTACTGCACTGAAATTTTCCACGATAAATGGAAATTGCATCAATCGATCGTTTCGTAAAATTCCCTAGTTATTGTTGATTTTTTACCTCTCTATATTTTCATTTAACCAAATTTTTGAAATGCTTTTTAAGCATGACGTCCTTTGATAATTAAAAACAATATTTCATTGAAGCATTGATTTACACGTAACCGATTTGATTGACGGTTTATTGGAACGGTAGTTGAAAAGATATTGGCTATTAGCATTGCAAAAACGTATAATTTTATTATCTTTTCGGGCACAATAAATCTGCCCACCGTAAATATGTTATGGTCAGATTTATTGTATGTGAAGCACTTTTCCCATTCGACCGTTAGTGCTGTATAAATTTTAATTTAAACACGTAAATAGCCGCTCAAAAGCCGATAATTATTTTGCAAATCAGTTGTTGATTTTGAAATTTTGATGTTGTATACTGCGTGTTTGTCTGTTTGCAAACAGTTGCATCGGTTGTTCGTCAAAGCATCGACTTCTCAAATAGAGCAATATTCGTTTATCGCATGGAATGGGAGTTGAACAAATGTTTGCGTAAAACAAAGATAAACTGAAAAATTGTCTGTGTGACAGCTTGTTTGATGAAACGAAAACTTCGTTGTAAATCGGAAACGTTTAGGCTTTTCATGAATCCATTTATTTTCAACAGACGTTTACATTTTTATTCTTTTCCAATTTTCGTGTTTTCACGCATTAAGGTACCCATGTCTTTGTTCGGATGGAACTATGCATATCTTGCACGTTTACGTCCACAAATAACCAAGTTGTCAAAGAAACGTTTACAGTAATTTACGAATTTAGCCACATTGGTACTGATGCTAATGGTTTAAAAATGAACGGCGCGAATCGTAGTAAGAACGTCACCAAGTTGTGTTCGGTGGTCTGTTGCGCAGTAAAGCAGTGCGCATTGCAATTTGCTGGGAGACAAGATTTTGTTTATGCTTTGTAATGTATTGATGCGCAGTCGCTCCTCGCGCAGCGGCCAATCTAAGTAAGGTATTACTAATAGCATAACTTGTGTCTCCAAGTAACTTCCAATAATGCGAGAATATTATATCACCAGATAGCGCTCTAAACCTTACGGCTCTTTAAAATTATAATACATACATTAAGTTACCCGTATCTCGAAAGTAAACTTTAAAGAACATATTGTTATTACAGGTAATATTTTGTTTAATAGTTATCGTTAGACTTCAAGCAACATAATAAAGGAAAGTAGATTGTAAATATTAGTTTCAAACTTCTTTCAGGACCTTTCGGCCGTAATGGTTCATTTAGATAGAAAATTATTCCTTGAATCATTGCTAAATAGCCTGGAACGATATTCATAACTGATCCACACGGTCATGAAAAGTATTATTAATATAAAAAGCGTTAGATATTATTTAAATAATCACTTTTAAACCTAAATGATACTTATACATATGTATACCAAAATCCCTGAGGATATTGATGGAAGTTTTTAAGACCAAGATACAATTTCGTAACAATTTTCTTTGAAGATATCTAATATCTCATTATATTAATATGTTAAATAAATTCACTGAAACTTTCTATTAGACATCCAAATTCCTGTCTTTGTATATAACTACATTAATTTATTAATCTCTTTACGGCATTTTTGATAAAATGGGAATATTTAATTAAGCTAATGCCTCACCTTGAAAATGTGATCGTGAAGTTTTGAATTCTGCACTGTGTTAGATTTCTTAAGATTCTTGATTTGATCCTGTACGTCCTGCAACAAGACGAGATCCCCTTCACGTTTATCCTTTAAATAGGACACGGTTACACTGATAGCTTTGACGGAGTCGCGAGTGTTTGTTTGATCTTCCTTGAGCAGTGCCACTTGCGAGAATGCGTCCGACATTTGGAATTCCAGCTTCGAAATCTCCTTCCTAAACTCTGGGAAGCTTCGGTCAATTTTGTTTTCGATATTCTCCACGTTTTCGAGTAGCTCGAGCATCGACATGTGCAGTTTGTCGAAGTTTGACAGCTGTTTACTTAAGTTCTGAATCGAATCAGCGTTGCTCTTCTGAAAACTTTCGAGTTCTTGAATTTTCTCGTGGAGCTGAAACCAATTCGCGTTTCCCCGGCCATCGACAGGATTTAATTTGTTCATTTGTAAGTACTCTTCAATTTCGTTGCCGTATATTACGTCAGGACTGTCTTCAGGTGTCGGCTTTAACGTCGTTGAAGTTTTAACTTGTTCTTCGAGTTTAATTATTTTCGCTTCTAAATCGTCGTTACGTTTGTTAAGTCGCTTGGCAATTTTTTCGAGGTCGATTATGTGTTTCTTTAGTAGGCGTTGGTGTCTGGATGGGTGGTCCTTGAATTCTTCCGGGGGTGAGCCGGAAAGAGAGGACGGCGTGTAATCGTTCAACTTCTTCCAATTATGGGCCCACTCTAATTGTGTACTCTTCAGCTGTAACAAAAGAAAAGTATTTTAGTACAAAAGAAGAGAAAGACGGAGGATTAAATAGTTTTCAGGGCGGCTTTGGAAACTCTACTGTGTTACGGAGGGGGGTTGTAATAATAGAGCATTATAAACTGGAAGACGTGATTCAAAGTCTTTCAAATGCCCGACATTTGTAGGCACAATAGATTAAGGAATGTGGTCATTCTAGATAAGCCGTTTTTTGTTTGCCATGTCGAACCAAGTTACCTGAAGTTTTTTAAGTGTTGCTGATCAGTATATATGGAAAGATATTCCACTAACATAGGGTAATTCTTAGAAGCAAGCTTCATTTAATTATAATCATTATCATTATAATGTCGTCAGTCCTAAGATTGGTTGGACACGCATCTCCAATCTTTCCTATCCTGAGCTAATCTTCGCATTTCCCTAAAACTAAAACTTCCACATCCTTAAGTATTTACGAACAGAAATTTAATCGAGGTCTACCTCTACTCCTTTCAATTCCTGTTTGTGTCTCTGACTAGACCTTCATGCCTGAGTATCTCTAACTCCTCCTTGCTAGATGCTAATATAATCATACTAATCTTTTGCCCCTGTATATCTATCCCTACAGTTGTACTGTCTTTAATGATGTTGATCGCGTCTTCGATGTATAGATTAAAAAGTAGCGGTGANACCAATATCTATCCTTCACAATGAAGCTAATCAATTAAACGATAACAGGTGGTTTCTAAATCCTTTGTACGATGCGACAATTAGTTACACTATTGTAAACATTATAGCAATTCCTTTCTGCTGTTTCTCCATTTGAACGAAATCTGTCGTGTACGACTTAGTTTAATATGTTCGCAAACGGCAGAGAGATTTTGTTTGTGACTGGACTTACAAACTAATATGACGCCATTGTTGGTAATTTGGTACAATGGACGGTTTGCTTCGACCGTAGAGAAAATTGCTATAATCCATTTAAGCCGCCGTGGAACTGACGCTGACATTACGCTATTTTACGTCATATGTGCCGTCTGAAAACTCACCGGTTCAACATAATCATCCATAATAAAACCTTGGCAAAGAACGATCAATAGTGATGCTAGAAGAACATTTTGTGTACGTATATAGTTAATAACAATTGGGAAGTAGATTTGCGAAGTCGTAAGTCTATGTACCATATTATGGCACTTTACGTTCATTATAAAAAGAGTGGAGTTAAGTCAGTAAGAAGTAGGTGAGGTATGTTGCTAACTAGAGACATATTAGAAGACGTAGAGCTGTTCTCTGTTAAGGATGTGGGATGTTCTAGTTTATGGAAAAACGAAGATTAGCTCAGGATAGAGGTCCAACCAGTCTCAGGATTGACGACCCTATGATGTTAATGATGACAAAAGATTAAGGGACGATCTTCGTGAAATTTTTGCTCTAAAAACTTCGAATTTTTGGCGAGTATCGTCTACCTATTCATATATGGATGATCATGAATGATACTGAAACTTATGTCACTGATATTTCCAAGAATTGTTCTTGTTACTGCCTTCTACTTCGTAAAAGACACTAAATCCCTTTAGCAATTCTACTATTAGGCGAGTAACAAAATATCAGTTCGTTCAATCAGATATAACTGATGTATAATCTCCTTCTTTAATGTAAAGTCGTGAATTCAGTGCAGACATCGAAAATTGATCTGCAAAAGCGCTTAAAATCTGAAAGCCATCCAATCCAAAGAAAGTAAGAGGTCAGTCCAGATGACACAAATTCAATTTGTTTAAATAATTGTAAACGTTTCACAAAATGCTCACTTATTCTTATATTAAAAGCTCTACCAGTCTGCCTTTTGTAGCATTTATCTCAAGAATCTCAAATTAATTTATAAATACATGATTTTTGTGAATTAGGTATCGCAATTGTCTTTATTATTATTATTAATATTTTTATCTAATTTGTTAATTTATTGTCCATTGATTTTTTAACTTGACGATAAAAGGATTAGCTACATTTGCTTTGTTCTGACAAGGGATGCATGAAATCTACCAAAAAAAAGAGGTACGCAGAAATATCTACTGATAAAATAGGTATACGATTTACGACGTGCAAAATAACTGCTGGACTTGAGAAGCAACACTAATAACGATATGATTTCGAGTGGAATCAATTTTGGCAAATTCATATTTCATGAGAAGACACCGCCCATACGTATTTCTGAGAGAACCGTATTCTATCAATAATCTAGTTGGTTCTGAAACAATTTTCATATATCAACCACACTGTTCCGCATTTGAAATTCCTAGCTCAGTAGTTGCTGAAATGGAAAATGCTAAACGAGATGCAATGTTTGAGTTACCTACATACATAATATCTTGAGATTTGTACGCCGAAATATTTCTTTCGTATAATAATAATAATAAAGGAGGAGTTAGAGATAGATTTAAATAAAATGGAAGCGGTATTGACAAAACAGTATTGTTGAAAATAAATAAAAGTAAAACAAAAATACTAGTATGCAAGGGAAGGAAAAGTAGGTAAAGGGCGAATATAAAGATAGGAGACGTAAAATTAGAAAAGGTGGCTGATTTTAGGTATCTAGGAAGTCAGATAAGTCAGGATAGAAGGAGTAGTAGGGATATAAAGCAGAGGATAGTACAGGGTCGAGCCGTCTTCAAATAAAAAAAGTCACTTCTAAGCTCGCGAACGATTAATTAAGAAATTCGAAAAAGATTGTTGAGGGTGTATGTTTGCAGCACGACGCTGTATGGGTGCGAAACATGGACGGTAGGTACTGCGGAAAAGAAAAGGTTAGAAGCGTTCGAAATGTGGTGTTACCGGCGAATGATGAGGATACCGTGGATAGAGGTTAGAAATGAAGAGGTATTAAAAGAATAGGAGAACAGAGGACTCTATGGAAGTCATTAAGAAATAAGCGAGACAGGTTGGTAGAACACCTCCTCAGACATGAAGGTCTAGTCGGAGACATATTAGCGACAGATACGGAAGTTAGGAGGGGGTAGAGGTAGACCAAGATTAGATTACTGTTCGCAAATAGTTAAGGATATTCTAGTTTTAGGCAGATGCGAAGATTAGCTCAGGATAGGAAAGAGTGGAGGTCTGTGTTCAACCAGTCTTTGGACTGACGACCTCATGATGATGATGATGATGTACTTTAATTCTTCCAAAAGCGCTACTATTATTATTATTGGTGTTTTTGTGATACACCATCTAAAGAAGTCAGAAATGCAATGGTAAAAATTTGAATTGAATTACATTAAATTAGTATTAGCAAATACATGAGTAAAGCCGGATGTGGTTTCGCGTGTTTCTTTTTGATAATATTAGGAATGTAAACTGCAATTTACAACAACCCCTAACGATTAATTTTCTAGTGGTCGATTTAGACGTTTTCTCTTGGTTGGCTAAACGTTCAACGGACGGAAAAATAATGACAGGAAACGGCAACATACAACTTGTTCCGTTTTGATATGCAGCAGGTGGCTAATTATTGTATGAATAGGAACGTTCACGGGGTTGCGGACGAAGGGATGAGAACGTCGCGCTACTTACTACCTCGACTTATTTAAACGCACCTTGTCAATTTTTTTATGCATGATATTCACTCCTTTTTGCATTAAGTATTTTTGGATTCCCATTCACATATAACCTGCTGCTAATTTTGATACTTTGTAATATAATATTACATTTAAAGATCGTTATGTAGGTGAAATAATAATAATAATAACTGGATTATTTTGGGAAGCGGGCAATTAAGATCTCAACAAGGTTAGCCACACTGTCTCGTCTGGATACCGTGAGGCTGCTTCTCCTTCTACGTCTTGCTTCATTTGCACATCACTAAGAATGCGATGTGATCCCCTTAAGGAGCTACGCGCTTTAATAAGGATTTAAGAGAATCAATCGGATATACCAGCTGACAATTATAAGATCCACTAACAAACAACCACAAGTTCTTCTGGGATTGTTATAGTTTAGATTATGGGATTTGTCGGAAAGCGTCGGTCAAACCAAGGGAATACTAGTAGTCATTCTGTGGAGCGCCTCCATTCAGTCTCCAAAGGTATATAAAGGTATTCTTAAAATAGGAAAGGACACTGTGGTGATGGAACTAATAAAAACAAGAAGAGACTTACTCCAAATCCAACCACAACAATTTTATAAACCGCTGCTGACACCTGTTTTGATCATTAGTGTTGAGCACTTCGATATTCCTAACTAATTATTTTGCATTAAGAATTTTTATCATGATTACATATTGCGAAACAATTTAAGGCTTAATTAATTACGGGTGCAGTCTACTAAGTTAATAAGCAGCACATAAAATCCTTTGCAGTCAGGGTGATTTGTAGTAGTATTTGTTCAAGGTCCTCCTAATTATGGCAGCACTAGGTAATGTATAGAGGGCTAATTAACACTCGGTCTGTTGGAAGATGGGACAGCTTTATATCTTTGTGAATTAACTCTCGGTTGTTTAAGTTTGAGTTCGTAAATTAACAAAAATGCAGTCAAGAGACCAGTCAGCTGTGCTCCATTTAAACAGAAAATACTTTTAGTTGCCCATATAAATGAATATAAACACATCTTTGATTTTATCCCACCATAATTTGTATGCCGTTTCAAAAACATGTGATAATTCAACTTAAAAATGTTTGAATAAGCAGTTNTCTCTTCCACGTTTGATTATACAAAGATACGATATCTCCTTTTACAAAAAGAAAACAATTACCTACATGCGTTTGTTGTTTCTGAGTGGTTTGTTTATTATATATTATTGAATTAACACGTCTTTTCCTATTTTTCCACTTCGTTTTATTATTAAATTAGAAATATAGTGGAGAAGTTACACTTCCAAAGATTTATTAATTCTAAACGAATTCATTTCGGTCGATAGCGGTCATTATCGAGATAAATACAAAAGTGATTTTTAACAGATATGTATACATATACAGGTAGATTATCTGTGTGGTAAAATATTGCCTGTACTAAAATATGTATACAGTACAGTC